CACAGACTAGAACGATGCAGAAAGCACTACTACCTGCAGTCGTCAGCATCTCAGCTTCATGCACACTGCAAGGATACATAGTATCACATGATTGCAAACTGCATTCGCCAGCATCCAGCTTCGTGCACACTGCAACGATAAAGAGAGCACAGTGGGCCAGCCTAAGCGTGCCCTATCACGATCGAGTAGTTCGGAAGCACGTGGCATCCAGCCTAGGCGTGAACTTTGGTTGGTTGTGATTCTCTGGAATTTATTGGCTATAGGCTTCCAAAGCATGCACATTCTCCAGTTTTCCACCCTGGCTGCATGTCGTGGCAAGTCCTTAATTTTGCACACTGCACAAATTTGTAAATTAAAGATGTGTGGTGAGCCACATAACATAATGCATATCTAAATGGAGTCCCAGGTGGTCCTCAAGCTCTCCTCTATGCCGTTCAGCTCCTTCGAGAACAACGACAAATGGGGTGAGCCTTCCAAGAAATTGACCTGGGATGGAGTTTCAATGTAGTGAGCTTGTGGGGTTGATGCATCGTGGACCGACCTGCTGTTTCCTACTCTGGGAGTCTATACAGTGTTTCTTCATAGTCGAGGCACGATTGTGTTCGCCACCAAAATGTTGAAAGCCATGGGTCTCGAAGCATTCATGAAATACTTCTGGGTTCCAGTGTAGGTTCCCTCCCGAATACCAAGCTGGCCACGGCTCCAGTAAGGCATGATGTAGAACCTCACCACATAACAAACAACAGCAGGACTATTACGGTTTATAGGGTTTTATAGGGTTCAAAAGGTTTATAGGAGATAGCTGCTAGGTTTATAGGAGATAGCTGCTACTGATTGCAGAAATCTGCCCTGGCTAGATAGGGTTTAGGGTTTTAGGGTTTAGGGCTATAGGGCTGCAACTTGGCAAACCAAGCAACAGCTTGGACCGACGAATCTCCTTTTTAAGGATTCCCCGCTCCTCCTTCGGAACCTCGCCAAAATCCGTCCCATCCTTTGCCTTTGCCTGCCTGTACTTCAGCCCATGAATCCTGCGAATCTCCGCGTGGCCAGGCATGTGGGCATTTCCTGGCCCAGCCTTCGCCTTGCCCTTGGCACGAGCTTTCGCCTTTGGGCTGGCTTTAGCCTTCGACTTAGCCGAGGCTTTACACTTATTCTTCGCTGGATTCTTTGCCTGTGCTTTCGCCTTGGCCTTGATCTTCTTAGGGTTCTTAGGCTGCGATCGTGTGCGAGCGAGGGCCAAAGTCTGCTTACTCAAGCATTTCCTTCGAAGCTTCTTTTTTTCCGGGTCTCCTGAAGTCTGAAGCTCATGATCGTGATTCGGCTTCCTCTTCTTCGAATTAGCTAGAGCAAGCTGCATCGTACGGGTCAGCAGCATGTCACCATCCTGGCACTTGTCGCTCCGAGCCTCAATCATTGAGGCCTCAGGGAGAGAGGCAGCTTCCTTTGCAGGCTGGACAGGGGAAGCGGCACGGGTTTCGTCATCGGAAATCTCGCATGTGGAAGAGCATGTAGCTTGCACACGTTGCTTCAACTTCTGCTTCAGCTTTCCCAGAAGCAAGGCTTTGATCTGCAGAGATGAAGGAGTGCTCGATTGCCCGATGTTGTCCTGCATGCATGCTGTATGTGCTCAAACCTCCATACATGGCTTATGTGCTTAGAAGCAGGGGCCTTGCGGTCCTCTTTCAAAGGCTCAGCCGAAGGCAACCTCTCCCACCCACCAAGACCCCCGACATACACACATCGCCATACACAGCATGTCTTCACTCTAACATAACCAGGAGGCTGATGGTCGGAGCCATCCTCGCCGTCAGATCCCACCTGCATAGGACCCATCTTCTCAGAGAAAGCTGCTTTTATACATGCATGTTAGCAAGATATTTTGACTGGCAACAGAGTCGACATAAATGACATCGTCTTCCTCTTCTATCTATATGGACTGTGTGCGAATCGTATAATCCGTCGCCTCGAAAACATCGCCGTGGCTGGAGACACCAAGGAGAGCTGCCTCAATTGCCATGACCGTGTACCCCATGCCTGACTTCAACCGACATAGAAAAAACCGACATAGAAAACAAAACATACATACAGGCATTGCACAGCCTTCCTTGTACTAGACCATGTAACTCGAACACTGAAAGAGTGCCTATGATAGACAAGAAGATGAAGATAGCTCGATTGCAACAACGGCACTAGCATGTGCACACAATCCCAGGCAGGCCAGAAGTTATTCAGAGTTTTATACTGTACAAAACCAGAAGGATGAACAGACACACTGGCTTATTACATGTTTTTCACCACCTAACAAACCTGCAAGTAACCCTCGCGTGAAGCACCAGAGCCCTGCA